TTTTTTTTGGCGAGACTCTTTTACACTTTTCAGGGTGTTTGTAGCTTGTCTCCGCAGTTTTCTTTATTGAAATTCTTTCTCTTAAGGATATGTTCTTTTCCTGTATGAAGTTTTAAAATTATTTGTCCACAAGTTGTCTTCCCTAATAAATATCCTGTCTAACCTTGAGCTTCCCTTTCATTTATAGATGGTACACTCTACATAGAAAGTATTCATTTGAGGAGTGGTATAAACTAAATTGAGTCCTCCCTCCTCCCCACCGAATTCATATGTTGATGTCCTAACCCCTAGTGTGAGGGTATTTAGAGGTAAGGTTTTTTTTGAAATATCTAGGTTTAGATGAGGTCATGGAGGTGCGGCCCTCAGGATGGGATGAGTGCCCTTTTAAGAAAAGCTAGGGAGAGATCTTGAACACACAATGAGAAGGCAGCCAGCCATCTGAAAGCTAGGAAGAGAGCTCTCCACAGAACCTGACCAAGTTAGCACCCAGGTCTCAGACTTCTGGTCTCCAGAACTGTGAACAAATACATTTCTGTTGCTTAAGCCACCCAATCTATGGTATTTTTTTTTTTTTTTGTCAGCTTGAGCTAAAACAAGGATGTCTTAACAATGTGATTGTTGCTAAACATTACTTAAGATTTTTTAAAGATTTTATCTATTTATTTGAGAGAGAGCGAGAGCAGTGAGCATGAGCAGGGGGAGGGGCAGGGGGAGGGGGAGAAGCAGGCTTCCCGATGAGCAGGGAGCCTGATGCAGGGCTCAGTCCCAGGACCCTAAAATCACGACCTGAGCCTAAGGCAGACGCTCACTGAACCACCCAGGCGCCAAAACGTTACTTAAGATTATTATTATAAGATAAAATAAAGCCTTTTAGAAAAGGTTTGTGATTCTTGTACCTGGCTATTGTCTTTGACTCCCTTTCTCCTGGCATCATTCCTTTCCTCTCCTTGACTGCAGGTTTGACTGGGGAAGAGGTTTTCTTCCCAGTCTTTCTTTTTAAAAATTTTTTAAAGATTTTATTTGTTTATTTGAGAGAGAGAGAGTGAGCGAGAGCATGAGCAGGGTGAAGGGCAGAGGGAGAAGCAGGCTTCCCACGGAGCAGGGAGTCCGATGTGGGGCTTGATCCCAGGACTCCAGGATCATGACCTGAGCCAAAGACAGACACTTAATCAACTGAGCCACCCAGGCACCCCTATCTTCCCAGTCTTAGTAAAATACTTTGCTCTGCTCCCAGGCTCTGGCTACTATTACAATGTCCCATTTTGTATCCTTCCTTTTTCTACTTGAGCATCTACTTTTTCTTAATTATATCTTTCTTCCAGGTAGTTTACCTTAAGGATAATATTGAAAAAGAAACAAGTGGTTTTCCAATGTCTCGGTCCCTACCCTCTGTCAATAAGTAAATCACCATCCTAGGTTTACCATTACAGTTAAACAAAATATTTGGAAGAAGAGAATGAATGTTTCCTGTTTTTATTTTGAAAGGTTTTCGCAAATACCTTAATCTCATAATTTTGTATTTTATATTTAACAGGTTATCAATTGGCACATGATTTTGGGCAAGTTAATTAAACCTCTTTGAGCCCATCATTCCTCATTCCTAACAGGGAAAAATGATAACAGCTGCTATATTACTTCACAGGATTGTCAGACTCAGATGGAATAATATAAATGGAATTTGTACAAGTGTTGGTTGTTACATTGTTAGTTGGGAAATACCTGCCTGTGTTTTACTCAGCCAGATTGGCCACATAGTTGATACATTGCACCAAAGTAGAAGGCTAGGTTCATCTTCCCTGCCTATTTGTATTTGGGGGTTATTTCTTGATCAATTTGTGCAAAACAAGTTTGGCTTATTTTAAGAGTATGAACGGGGTGTAGGGAGTAAATGACTATAGCACAAACCTATGTGTTAGTGCTCTCATAATCTTTTTTTTTGAAGATTTTATTTATTTATTTGACAGAGAGAGAGCACAAGCAGGGGGAGCTGCAGGCAGAGGGAGAAGCAGGCTCCCCGCTGAGCAGGGAGCCCAATGCGGGGCTCGATCCCAAGACCCTAGAATCATGACCTGAGCCAAAGGCAGTTGCTTAACCAACTGAGCCACCCAGGCTCCCCGAGTGCTCTCATATCTTTAAGGATACCCTAGGAACTTGGAATTATCAAAATTTTTTTGACAAAATGCTTTTTTTTTTTTTAAATATGTTATTTAGTTCAGATATAGAGAGTGTGAGAGAAAGTACATGCATGGGGGGAGGGGCAGAGAGAGAGAGAGAGTCTCAAGCAGACTCCCTGCTGAGCACGGAGCCCAGATCTAAGGACCCTGAGATCATGCCCTGAATCGAAATCAAGAGTTGGACGCTTAACTGACTGATCCACCCAGGCACCCCAACAATATGCTTTCTTTTCATGTCCTACAAGTTCTTTGCTTGAGAGAGAACATAGGTATATTTTGTGGAGAGTAAAGCTGGCCATTTTTCCCTCTTTTATAAGCAGTAAAACTTCAAGTGTGATAAAGAAGGAAATGGAATACTTTTGCTGCTTAAAACTCTAACTGAAGGCCTTAATTCTATACTCTCTCTATGGGGTGTGTATGTGTAGGTGGGGCTATGTACCCAAGGTGAGCATGCAGGAGAGTGAGAGGAAAAGAAAGAGAAGAATCAAAATATGTAAGGGAGACACTGGGATATTTACACTGTCTCAGATGTGAAATTAAAGGTCCCCAGAAATTTTACTTTCTTTCCTCAAACTCCCACTTGGTAAATCCAGATTTTTTTCTAAGAAATTTATGGTAGTCTTAGGCTGAAGTCATTTTGAAGTAACCCCCCCATTTTAATAGAAATATACGGGCAAAATTCGTGTTGGTTGTTTCATCCTGTTTTTCATCGAAATCATTACAGTTGTTGCATGCCTAAATGATGGAACAAATATTTACTTGTATCAACAGAGATCTACATTGAACAGAATAAAGTTCTGGGGGAAAAACGTGACACTGCTTTGGAAACATGAAAAATATTAATAGAATATAAATATCTGAAGAGTGACAATGATAGGAAACATAAAAACTAACTGTATTGGATGTATAATATAGATGATGAAGAACTGTGATTTGTCTGCTTATGTTGAGACATTATGCTGCAAAATGAGTTTTGGTTGAGATGCCTGTGGTTTTTCCTTCATTAACATAAGCAATTTCCATACTGCCAAATTTTTCTTACAAAAGAATAATATGAAAATCTCATTGGTTTCCCACCTGTACTACTTGCCAGTTTTAATCTATAGCAATTTCTAGGCCTATATTTAACAAAAGAGTCTTTACTGAACTGTTTAAAAATGTAAACCTTTATTCCTATCCCCATCTAAACATGTGGATTTGATCATATATTTATATACCTATATTTCGTAAACATTTATCGGTCTTTGAGGGGTGGGAGGGAGGTATTCTTAATCTAAACGGAGTTTTTTGAGGCAGAGTAAAAAATGGTTTGTTGGTCATCAATGACAGTATTTATAGTTTGCTATATTGCAGACATTTCTTTCATTTATTGAGATAGGATTAACTTTGTTTCCTGTCTGGTACTGGAGCCTGGGATAGATCAGAAACTTTGGGATATGTAATTTGAGTAGGCAAATTATTCTCTAGTCAGAGCATGCAAAAATCTTAGTTGCTTCTGACTCTCTAATAAAATGATGGTGGTGTGGCAAACACAGAAGCAGTTCTCTTATTATCTGTACCAAGTAATAGTAGTCACTTCTTCACCTTCAGTTTAGGAAAGAGTGTGAAAAGAGAGGTCAAAAAAAAATGTAAAAAACCTATTGTAATAATAAAAAAAAACCCCAAAACAGCATCTTTCCATATAACTACACCTCTGAAGTTTACACATTAACCTTATCATTAGTCTGGTACAGTACGGAGGGAGAAAAAGATAAATCCTCCATGATTTTAAAATGCATCTGTTTCACTGGAGACTTTCAAGTTTTTCCTGAGAATGAGGGAGAGAGAGAGAGCGAGCGAGAGATGGAGAGACTCATGTCTCTTGATACAGTGTATCAAAACATAAATGTTTGATAAATGAATTTTTAAACAGCGCTGGGCTGTGATTGTTCTTCATGCACACCTTTAATGTCTGACTTTTGAAAGAACTTTAGACAATAAGTAATATTTGGTAACAATTAACAATTAAAAACATATTTTCGGAGTCCTCTACAAATGCCTTCATGGTGGATCGATTTCCACAGCGGTTTTTCAAAGTGACACATCTTCAACCCACTTAACCATCTGTAAAGACAGAGTATGGAATCTTCTGCCTTCTCTGTGTGGGCAAATGGGACTGCAAAGTGGAGTGAGAAAACACGGGTTCCACCTTGTGTTCTACAACTTGATAACCTGAGTGATGTTTGGCCTCTCGAAACTTCAGGAGGTTCATTTAAAACACTGAGATAGTAACTATCACGTTATACAGTTCCAAGGATTGATTACCTGAGCTCACAAATGGAGTTCTCTATAGACTGTAAATGGGATGCAAACGTGAGCCACAACTCAGAGTTCCAAGCAGCTGCATCCCTGCTGTAGCACTGAGGTCACAAAAAAGGGGGAAAATGTCAACCCGGTGAGGTCACTCCCTTAGGCCAGGGCCCTAAAATTCTGCACCTGGAGGGCTGTGCTCGGCAGATCCTCGAGAACCTGACTTGGCACAATGGCGCCCTTAGACTCTTTGCTCACCCAAGCCGCGGAATTTTTAGTAGCTGTCCTTAATCACGGGAGCATTTTCTTCCAGTTCTCTCCCAGAGACCTCACCAAGCCTCTCCTCTCCTAGCCTCGCCCAGGGAAACATACCCGTATCCACTATTACTCCACGCTCCCCCTCACGCACCGCTCGTGCGGAGGTTGGGGTGGAGGAGTGGCTTGGCTTTTATATGCCTTGCCAGCCAATGAACATGCTGCCTTTCTTCCGGTCGGCGAGCCGGCCAATCCGAGCAGGTCGCTGTAATCTTCGGCTCTACTCGGCTCTTTTCGCTGATGCGGGAGCTTGGGGGCCGCCGCCGCTAGAGAGACGCTTTCCTTTTTTATTTTTTTTCCATGTGTTCACTTCCGGGTCCGGCGCCGATCCGGATGCCCGAGGCAGAAGGATGTTTGACCTCCGGATAAGCGAGGCGCCGCTGTGCATTCATTCCCGGCTGCATCGGTGGCGACAGCAGCGGCCCGGGCGGCGACTCTCCGGCCAGAGGCGGCGGTAGGAGGCACCGGCAGTAGTGCAGGGAGCGAGTCCGAGCGGAGCTGCGTTCCCTCCCTCGCTCGTTCTTTCCCCCCCCTACCTCGCTCGCTCCCTCCCTGCGTGGCTCGCTTTCCTCCTCCGGTCGCCGGCGGGTGTGATGTGCCGCCGCCGCTGCCCCCGCCGCCGCTGACTGACGGAGCAGGGGGCGCCGCCCGCGCCCGGGACCGACCCCGCAGCTCGCGGCCGCGCCTCTGAGGTAAAGCCTCCTCCGCGGTGGCGCGCGGCCGGGTGGCCCGGGCCCGGCGGCAGCCGCGGCGGAGCCGCTGCTCCCTTCTTCCCGGGTGGGGCTGGGTGGGCTGGGGTCCCGGGCTGGGAGGGCTGGGGTGCGACGGGGGCGGCGCCGCAGGCGGGGGCCGCGGAGGACCAGGGGTGGGCGAGGACCCCGGCGGGCGGGCGGCGCGGAGGGAGGGGCCGCGGCCGGGGGGAAGGGGGGAGGTGGTGAGGGCGCCGAAGGCTGGGTGGCCGGGGAGGGGGCCGCGGGCGGCGGGCAGGGCGGGTGCAGAAGTTGCCGAGCGGTGCGGCGCGAGTGGGGACGCGGGGGAGGTGGGCGAGCCGGGAGAAGGCGGGGGCTTCGGCGGGGAGGGGTTTTGAGGTCGGGAGCGCAGCCCCGGCGCTCCTGATTGTGTCCAGACAATTACCCTCGGAGTGGGGGTTTGGGCAGGAGGGAGGGAGGCATCGGGCTGCTGGAAGGGGGTGTCAGGGGCCAGCATTCATTTCAGGGGTAAACTTCCCGCTGGGGTGTCTGTTGGGGGGGGGCAGGGATTTACCTATTTGATAGAGCTTCTGACTTAGCTCAAAACTTAAGGCATTAGTCGGGGGTAACAAAATTTCTCTGCTGACTACTGTTAAGGTGCTGGTTTGTTTGTTTATCCCACATGCAGGGGAAGTGACACACCGAAGCGTCGGTGCTCTTGGTCCACAGCTCCCACATTTCTTTTCCGTGGGGTGGTGATGGAGATGTGTGTGTGCTTGTGGGGTGGGGGTAGTTAGGCCTGTATTAGGATCATTCCAGTTTTCCCAGGGAAGGAGGAAAAGTTAATGGGTGGGGGAGAGAGAGAGAGAGAGAGAGAGAGTGTGTCTGTGTGGGAGATGGCTACTGTTGCTATACTGTGGGAATTAGTTGTAACTCTGTTGTAATGAGTAGGGAGGCTGGCCAATAAGTGACCCCCTTTTTAACCTTTTGTTTTAGAACGTCGATTTTAATTGGAAAATTAAAAACCTGATTTTTAATAAGCTAAGAAAATAAGTCAGTATTTCTTGGGCAGTTACTGGTGAATGACACTCGCTCACAGTAAACGATGTTGAACTACATCTGAGTTGGAATACTTTTTAAAATTAAAAATATTTAATTTTTAAACCCGTGGATTTATTTTTGAGGAATATTTGCTTTCCCTATAAATAAAAAGTGGAGGAAAAATAACACAAATTATAAGAATGAGTTAGGATTAGAAAGATAGGAGGCCAGTTTAGGAAACCATTTTCCACCAAAAATCAGATACAGTTGGTGACATTCTTAATAACTTTTTTCGGGGTGGGGTGGAGAGTTCTGCCTAGTGTATTTCATAACTCTTTCCAAACTTTGCTCCAGCTGTATTCTGAGCTAAGATAAAGTATCTTTTGTATGTATTAGCCCTTATCATTGCACATTAAGGTGAAAATCGTATTTATTGGCATTGAAAGGAAGATATTATCAAATCAACTGCATGGCTTTGGCATAGATTCTCTGGAATGTACAGACACTTTGGCTTCCAGGAGCTTGCATTTCTGCATATGCATCAGGTATTAGTACTTCTTATTAGAACGGGGACAGAAAGATTAATTTTAATATTGATATATATGAGACTTTTGGGGGGATCTTAGAAAGTGATAATCTTCAGTGATGATTTATTGTGCTCTTCTGCCATTCATCAACTCAGAAATTAATGCATTATGTAATTATTGTTTTCATTGTTAGATTTACAAAGGGTTAACTCTTACCGAAATCTTCAACACATGATATTCATTTATTCCTTCAAATAAAAAGACTGGAATTAAAATCAAGGGATAGTTCAGTTCAACCCAGACCTTTACTCTGTGGTGAGGATGGAAGAGTGGTTAGAATATGAAGATGAATCAGACCTAGTAGCTGTCTTAAAGGGAGAAGCAGACATGCATAGAAATAGTGGCAACACAGGACACCTGTGGGATTTATTAGAGGTGTATGGAAGCATAGTGTGTGTGTGTGTGTGTGTGTGTTGTGTAGAGAGAGAGAGAGAGACTAATTTTTGACTGGAATTATGAATAACTTCAGAGCTGGTAGCACTCCATTTGGGCATTAAAATATTTTAATGGGCAAATGAGGGCTTGGTGTGTGTGTGGGGGGGAGTGCTTAGTTTTCTAGGCAAAGAGAACAGCTGGAGCACAGGCATGTTGGTTGGGTATTATGGGGACTGTTGAGCTGCACATGAGGCTGCTGGGCCAGGAGGTCTTTATGGGAGAGGAAGCTGTGAAAATAGGTGGAGATCAGGCAGTGGAAGTCCAGAATGCCTTGTATTCAAAAAATGAGTCAATTTGAGGTATAAAGGTCCAAATGTCCAGATTTTATGCTTCTAGGAAGTAGGTAGGCAAATAAGGATAGTAAGTTCAAGGAAACAAACTATAACAGAATAATCAACTTGTTATCATTTATGCTAATGGAGGAAAGCAGAGAGGTATACAATCTACAACACTCCATACCTGGCTTTGTTATATTTCTGTACTTGAATTTGAATATGGGTGTGTCTGGAAATCTGGTAATTGGTTGTATATGAAATGAATCCAGGGTGTAAAAATGAGCCTCTGGAAGAAATGGGAAGCTCTCTGTTTATTTCTCTGTCCCCTCTGTAACCCCCTCTGTACTGGCAATAGGCTATTTTTCTGGTGTAGTTTATTGATTCAGAGTTTTTCAGAAGGGAACAAGTGGTTGTTTAAGTTTTGGAGGGTTTCCCAAAAGGATATTTCAAACTAAATTGAGGGCATGCTGCACTGTTAAACAACAAAACAAAACATAGATCATTGGATAGTTATATTATTGTTAATGCATTTGAACGTGAGATTCACTATGGATAAAGTGAAATGTAAGGAATCTACATACAGGGAGAATTGACCATGACAGTGGGATGTTGAAATGGGAAATGTTCACGGTTCCAGATAATATGTAAGGTTTTTAGTTATCTTAAATATTAAATGACCCTAAAATAATTTAACCCCAAACTTTATCCCTATCAAAGAAGTACTTAGAGGGCGCCTGGGTGGCTCAGTCGGTTAAGCGTCTGCCTTCGGCTCAGATCATGATCCCGGGGTCCTGGGATCGAGTCCCGCATCGGGCTCCTTGCTCTGCGGGGGAGCCCGCTTCTCCCTCTCCTCCCCACCTGTGCTCTCTCTCACTATCTCTCTCTCTTTCAAATAAATAAATAATTCTTAAAAAGAAAAAAAAAAAGAAGTACTTAGAAAAAGACCACCGTCACAATGACAGTGTTTAAGTCTATGTAGACTCACGCTTCTGGGAAGATTGATGGATTTTACTAACTATTCCCCTCTAGGTATCCAGAAAGGGTATATATATTATAACTGAATTTGTGAACCAGCATATAACTGAATTTTCATGAACCTTCCATTTAAAACACTAATACTTGTTAAAATTTATTTTATTTTATTTTATTAAAGATTTTATTTATTTGAGAGAAAGAATGAAATAGAGAGCACATGAGAGGGGGGAGGGTCCGAGGGAGAAGCAGACTCCCCGCTGAGCAGGGAGCCCGATGCGGAACTCGATCCCGGGACTCCAGGATCATGACCTGAGCTGAAGGCAGTCACTTAACCAACTGAGCCACCCAGGGGCCCACTTGTTAAAATTTATTAACTGCCTACTTTGTATAGCGACAATAGATGATACTGTCAAGAGAACTCTTCTTGTTAGATGGTGCATAACCCTTGCTTTTGACAGTTGGAAACAGTCATCTAGAGTTTAAGCAACCTTTTTAAGATATAGCACAGTGCTTATTTAATTCATTTTTTTCCTGACTTCAGAGTCTTAAACCACCGATGATCTGTTTTTTTCTAATCTTCCATCCTCTTCCTTTGTTTGTGTTTTCTCGAGAGGTTGGCACTTAGTGGTATTGATTGGTATTGTTAGTATACGTTTGGGTGTTGCTTCTTCAGGATGGAACTTTTTTGGAAATGGCAATTTTGGGGGTATCTGTAGTTCTTTAATTGTAGAGATTCCGTAGGAACAGACAGTATGGTTCTAGTGACTAAAGCTGCCTCAGAGTGTCCTTTTGTGATGATCTATAGGGCAGAACCATATTTGGGATTCTTAATGTGTAGAAATCAAGTGTGTATTATCCATGAATGTGAAGTGACTTGGGAGACGCTCTGCATTACTCAGAAAATAAGGAATGAGAGAGAGATAAAAGGACAGATAAGTTTTACACATACATTACAGGCTGCTATTAGCCATGTTTTTTCTAGCTCCCTTCTCAAAGCTGGGATTTAGAAACCATAAATGTTTCCTAAACTGTAGGGTTTCCTCCTATTATGGGACCGTAGGAAGGTGTGTAGTGATTTGTTCTGAAACTATAGTAAGTGATTGGTTATATTCTCTCCTGCCACTCCCTGCCCGTCATCTTTGTTATGAGAAAGAATTCTTAATCAGTGATCTTGAAGTGTTTATGTATTTGGTAGAGAAGACACACACTTTGGTCCATTTTCTTGACTAATGATGGATCACACAGTTATAATTTAATTTAATGAAAGTCTATAGCTCAGTTATATCCACATATTCCTAAATCACATCCACATGTTTTATAGCTTTCACTGGAAGTAAGTAAAATCTTATGATACACTTTTTCTTAAGATAATGATGAATTGTTAGAAGGTTGATTGGTGGGTAGAATAAGCAAAGACTCTTGGGAACAGCCTATTTCAAGAGACCCTGTTTTAACTGACCTGTTCGACCCAGTCAGAAGATTGATACTCTTCATTCATTTGCTGCTTGATACCCATGCTATACTAAATGGCAGTATACCACTACTCTCTAGTTTGTTTTGGAATTTTTAATCCCACTAGTTATTTTATACTTACCAAGAATTATTTGTGTTTGCCCCCAACAAATTGTTGATGGCACTTGTACTTGATGTTGTAATTACACAGTTTAATGAAACATTATTTAGTGAAATA